AGTTGTACGCACCAACTATGATGTAATGCCATAATTCCGCCGTGGCAGACGCCCATGCTGCAGTAAACTTCAGAAGCTGCACACTAGTGATTATTTCTGCACACTCTGGGTTTCATGTACGCTTGGCTCAATGAATGGCATTTATTCCCGTAGCTATGCGAAAGACGTTACTTCAGTAACGTGGCGCTAGCCAGGGTCCACGCAGCTTTAATTCCGTGGGTGTTTGTGTGTCCGTCTGTCTGTTTGGTCTGTTTGTGTGTCTCTGTAGGGCGAACTCTCTAGTGCTTTCGACAATGTATTGGACTTAGAGCAGCAGTCCAGGTAGCATTGGATGAGTGGCGGTGATGCTGCATCCACTGTAGAAATTGTGCGAGTGTGTATGCGCGTGTACGCACATGTGTGTGTGTGTGTGTGTGTGTGTGTGTGTGTGTGTGTGTGTGTGCGCGCGTGTGTGTGTGCTCATGTTTGTTGTGTGTATGTATACATGTACACGATGTGTGTCCATGCATACCTCATCCTATATCTTCAGCCTAGTCCAGTTTCGTCTAGTGGGAGAGCAGTAATTGTCTTGCACGTGCAATTGTACATGCGCGTTCATGTGTGTGCGTGTGTGAATGTGTGTGTGTGTGCACGTGTGTGTGTGCACGTGTGTGTGTGTGCCCATACATGTATGATGTATGTGTCTGACTCTCTGTCTTTGTCTACCTGTCTCTGTGCATGGCTGTAAGTTTGCGGACTGTCACTGCCACACCGACTGCCCTGACCCTTCATCGATATTTTAACAGCCTGTAGCTCTCTGGCAATCTGTTACAGACCTTCCACCTTCCCCTCTGGTCCTGTATTTCCTCTCTTCTGTTTCCTTCTCTCTCTCTCTCTCTCTCTCTCTCTCTCTCTCTCTCTCTCTCTCTCTCTCTCTCTCTCTCTCTCTCTCTCTCTCTCTCTCTCTCTCTCTCTCCCTCTCCCTCTCTATAACTATGGTCAGTTGATATAGGATGGCTAATGATACCACCACTGCTGTGATTACACTGTTTTTACTTTGCTTCAGCTTGTGTTGCTGTGCTATATTGCTTTGTTGTTCTATTTTTGTGTTGTACGTGTCGTCGTCGCTGCTACTACTACTGCTGCTGCTGCACTGGTGTCCTCTTGTTCAAGATCATGGCTCGGTGTCTCGTGTAACATTGTTGTCTCGACGTAGTTTGCTTCCTCTATTTTCTTGCTCGTGTGTGCCCGCATTCTTTGGCTTCTTTCAACAAGTAAATAATTAACTCTCTGGTGTAAGTACATGTACAGCCGGTCAACTTCGCTCCACGGATTCTGCACAGGTGATGGCGGTGGTGCTAGGATTTTTCTTGGTTATTTTTTATTTTTATTCTCGGAGAACTGATCTATCGTTCCCAGCTTGTGAAACACAACTTATGGGTGAGATCTTATTATGCTCTTTATTCGAATCCCTCTCTCGTGTGCTGATGTGGGTCTCGCTTTACCATCTTTCTTTCTTCTCAGTTAGGTTTTACGCGCTCGGATTCAACATAGCGCTGTGTCTAATTTGCTTTGCGATATCAGAATGTGCTGGTCATGTTAATATATCCTTCCATCTCTATCTTCTTCGCCGCTGGTGTGCCGTGTGTGTGTGTGTGTGTGTGTTCGGGTGTGCGTTTGTTCGTGTGTGTGTGTGTGTGCGCGCGCGCGTGTTTGTATGCGCTTTGGTTAGGAAATTTACTGCTTTTAACTTGGGATATTTTTTATTCGCTCGCAATTCTGCAAGCCGGTTCACCAGCAACGGGTCTAGACAGAGAGCCCTATGTGTAGACAACGGTATGCAGAATGCTGTCTTGCGTGCATCTTGCATTGGTAATCGTATTGATGTGTGGCTACTACATGTATGTGCGGAGCAGGATCCCTGCATGGATGTGCCATCAATGTCATCAACAGTACATAACCTCCCAGAGTGTGCAACGCCTGATCCAGCTCTGCATAGGGTCTTGGTCGAGCGTAATCGGATTTTTGCATCGTTATACCGTACACATCTGGGGGAACCCGGGGAGCAACGGTGCTGTCGGATCAAAAACAACGGTGCCCTGCCTCGGGACCGGCCTTGCGCTGGTGTGAAGTGTACTAGTACGCATGACATCAAAAGATCCGATTACGCTCGACCAAGACCCTATGCAGAGTTGGATCAGGCGTTGCACACTCTGGGGGGTTATGTACTCTTGATGTCATTATACATGTGCATGATATTGTACAGTGTAGTGACAGTTGGTAGTACAAAACTGCAACGCTGAATGGTAATGGCATTCATGTAGTAGCACCATCACATCATGGTGCATGTCGTGAATATCTTTTGACACGCTAATATTATAAGCTTTTAATATGCGGGCAAAAAAACTAATGTGTTTTAATACCGTAAACTCATAGTACTGGTATAAGCAAGAGTAGGTTTATGTACTCTTGGTATAAGCAAGAGTACATCTTCCGGAAGCCCCTATTCAGCATATTGCCGCCGGCTGTGCTGACACAGGCAGAGGCGTGTTGTACTGTAAGTAAACTAGATGAGTATACATGATCAGTGATTGCATTCATTGGTTTGAGGGAAGGATGCAAACCGTCACCGGCGGGAAAACAGTCTGAAGAAAAAAAGGAATATTATAACCAAAAATTATTAAATACCAACGTTTTTGTACTACTCCCTGGTCACCACTCACTGATCCTTATGCACAGATATACAGCATTCCCTCACTACAGTCCATTCAGAAAAAAATGAACTTCTAGCTTTTGGCCATAAATGGGTCAAACGTTGAGTTTTTTTAGAATTTTTTTCTGCAATCCCATATGGAATCCTCTTCCAATTATGTTTCTGAAGTTTTTTTGTCCAAAAAGCAAGCCATAGCAAGAATAGGATTTCGGCCAGGTTTTGCCCCAAAATCACTGAATTGGGAAAAACCATCAAAATCCAGGCCGTTTGACCCCGCCTGCAACAGTGCATTCTGCGGTTCGAACCCCAGTTCAGGCACCCTTTTTGGACCCTTTTTCAAATTTCAAAGTTCGCAGCACTGCACTGTGTACGATGAAATCACGAAAAATCGCCAAATACGGGAGCTCGCCAGAGCCAGGACCCATTTTTTTATGAATGGACTGTAGTGGGACCATTGTTATTAGGCTAGGGCCTGTTTTGGACTTCCCACTCTAAATAAAGGATACAAGCAACAACAACAACACTCGCTACACTACAGGTACTAGCAAGAGTATAAATAATACTCTTGGTACTAGCAAGAGTGAAAAAGGCTCCCAGAGCTTATGATACTCTCTTTCAGAGCTTATACCATTACCTGATTACCGGTATACTCTTGGTACTTACGTAGTAGGCGTGTCCACTTCATGAATTCACCTCAATCAGATCAGTTTACGTACTAGTAATCGTTTGTCCACCGTCGCGTCACTCGCACTCGCGTCACCGATTTTTTGGGTAAACATGACGCCTACAAGACGTCATCGCTAGCTGTAGATCTAGGTGTGCAAGCAAGGAGGGAAATCCCCGGCCTGTAGTTCGCATTCAGTTTTCGAAAGTTGTTCTGTCATGTTCAAACTTACTTTGCTGCATTTGCAGATACTTGTAGCTATTATACAGTTACTGTTACTTACTGGGTTGGTTCAACCAAACTGAACTCCGAGTTTATTGCATCGATGAGAATAGGCCTCTATCCACAGAGCTAGGGACGGTGCTGTAGCTTTCTACCTGAATGGCTGGACCAGGCGCCTCCTTTTCTTTGGAGGATGTATTGAAGCTGAATGAGCCTCGAAACACAAACGATGTGTTTATTCTCGCTGTTCACGTTGCACTGCACAATGCATCATTCGTTGGAACAGAGGTGAACGAAGTAAACTCCGTCAAGGTTCGTACTGCGTGAAATGGCCAACTTTCATTCAGCTCAGCTCAAATTAAACCTTCCGATAATAATAATTATTGGATTTCCCATAATTATTTCTTCAAGTACATGTATTTGCAAATTATAGACTGTCTGTGGACTGTATTTGTACTGGCAGTGCACTACATTGTAGTGCACCAGTTCGATGAAACTTCTGCAGTAAAAAATTCTTCATTTTAAAAGGATTCGGAAGTAAGAGGAAAAAATTATAATACTGAGAAATTATAATAAAAAGTTGTTTCCATCTTTTGACGCTGCACGAATAAATACGGTATATACATGTCGATTCAGCTCGTCTTATTGATTGCGGTTTTAAATAGCCTGGCAATGATCGGAAAATGGCAGACTGAGAATCTCTATGCATAAAGGTAGATAGCTTGCTACGGTATGTATTCATGAAAAGCTCTTCAAGCCGTATTTCACTTCCGGGTCGTGGCACCATTGGCTCAGGGTAGCCTAGATAAGCCCGTAAATCGGAGCTCCCGGGAGAAAGCAGCGAGTAGGATCAGTGGCACACTCATTGCACACAGGGAGTATTGTACTAATCCCTGATTGCACACAAACACTGCAACACAGTTTGTATTACATAAAGCTTTCCTGTCACTACATTGTGTTGTCAGTGGATTTCACGACTGCCGAGTTTTGGAAAAAAATGACTGTGCTTTGTAGTCGCCAGCGCGTAATAGGGCTTGAAAGTGATGACGTCAAAACGGCCAGGGAGTAGTAAGTTGACATCAGATTTCTATTTTTGGATCCACTAAGGTGTGACTTTGCTATTGCCTAAGTATGTGGGTGCATAGCAACCCACTCATGTCGCATGCAGGTGTGACTTTTATTTCGCCACCAGTTGTAACCCCGCCCCCAGTAGCCAAATCGGTCAGTTTCACTGGCTACATCACCATGCTGTGGGTAAGACCGCTTGAAATGTGCTTGGATCCATACAAAAACTGGATCCAAGTGGATCCAGTTTTTGAATTTTTGAAATTGTTGCTATGCTGTGACGTAGCACTTTCAAGCCCTATAATCCTACTCACTGCAATGCTTAGTTTGCTGTCTCCACGCCGTCCCTTGGATAGACATCAAATGCCTGGATACTAGTACAGTCGACCTACCCTTATAACGATAACCTCTATAACGATATTACCCTTATAACGATATTTTTCTGCCAAACCAAATCACTCCATTGACTTGTGTATACAATGCCTTACCTCTATAACAATATTGCTATAGCGATATTACCCCTATAACAATATAAAATGGGCTGACCAATCGGCATTTTCCATTAACAATATCTAGCAGGGAATATGTAGAGCCCACTATCCAGGTAGGGCAAGCTTCACTTGATAAGTCGTTGGGACATGACGAAATGCAACTGGGGCACCAGTGGGCACCTTGCTCTGTACATAATGTGCATGTAAAATGATGTATGTCAGTTTTTTATGCTATGAAGAGTGTAAAAAATGAACAAAATCCATGCATTATGACGTATGTGTATGAAATGAACCAGTTACCCCTATAACAATATTACCCTTATAACAATATTTCTTGGTCTGACGCAAATATCGTTATAAGGGTAGGTCGACTGTATCTAGAAGTCTTGTCACAAACGAGTTTGAGTCCCCGGGGCCCGGTTGATTTCACTTGAACCTCCGATGCGGAAACTTATCATACATCCCAGTACATACCTGCAAGGAGCCCTCCTTGCCCATGGTGGAAACAAATCTGGGTGCGCAGTCAACCATGCCACAGATGACCCCATGCCTTCCAATTTTACTACAAAAGTGCAAATTAATGTACAAGTCTCTCGTACCCCCCCCCCCCCCCCCCCCCCATCGACACTCTTCCTCCCCGCAACTCCATACTACAGTCAACTCCACTTATAACGAACTCGCATATAGCGAATCTCATGATATAGCGAACCAGTGTTCGTGTCCCTGTTTGTTCAAACCCATGCAAAATTGACCCTTTATAGCGAACAGTTTTCATTTATAACGAACCATGTATCGTAGGGTCGCATGTAAACCAAGTGCACTCATAATGTCATGGGCCACATACCAGTCCATAGCATAATACTTGTACCAAGAGTATATAACCCCCCAAGAGTGGGCAACTCCTGATACCCTTTCTATGGGGTACGCCGACGGCGAAAACTCAGATCACGTGGTGCAGTGTCACAGTTGTACGTTTCCAGCCCGTTTTTAGCGAGCAGCGGAGTAATAAAAAAAAGCACTCTCTGACAGAAACTCACTGCGGGTATGCAAATCCCCAGCATGATCATGGCAGATATTCGGATTGCACGCACGCTATTATCCTACGCTTGTACGTAGTACGAACGTATCTGAGACACGTGATGTGAATTTTCGCCGTCGGAGACCCCATATGCAGAGTTGCACACTCTTGGGGGGGGTATATACTCTTGCTTGTACTGTATTGTGTGATTGCATTTTAGTGTGAGTGCATTTCGGCTATAAGAACTTTGGGTGTAAAGAACTGATTATCCTGCACAAGGGTGTTCATTGCGTCGGGAGTCGACTGTACACTGGTTATGTAATGCGTGAATTACAGACTGGTGAGTACTATTATGCATGGTACATTCGTACTTCTTTTTGCCGTGCCTGTTGCAGTTTGGAACTAGCCAGCTGTCGCTGCCGAAGGAATGGAACCAGCAAGAGGATGCGTACGTGATTTTCTACACGCGCAAGTCCACTCAGTATGTGCTGAAGGCTGTACCGGCCGATGATCTCTTCCTCTGTGGATTCTTGGTATGTGGCAATGTTTGGACTCGGTCGCCTGCCCTACAATCGTGCTTCTGCACTCAAGCCTATAGACCTTATTCACTTTGTAAAGATGTACGAAATGCCCTAGGTGTGTATAGCCGGTATGCCTGGCTAAGTGTTCAATGTGTGCTATAGGTTACAAGCACATTTGACCAATTTAGCCCAAAAATCAATGGCAGACAATCACCTTTCCAGCTTCATCACTTTGAATGGAGCTATCATTGGCTAGGTCTTCGTCCGTGTCAAATGCGTTCAGGGCACGTTTCGTAGTGGGAACAGCAGCAAATACAATAGAGTCCTGCAGATTCAACACCCCACCGAATCTACGGGATTTTATGGGATTCAACGGGATTTTGTACATGTGTACAACGTGCATAAGGTCCATTGGGCCTTGGGGAGATAGAAAGAGAGAAGAAGGATGTTACTTCGAGGTGCATTAGCCAAATTTCCGAAATGCAATGCAGGGATTGAGCAGAGGATTTTGCTTTTGCGCGTCAAGAATGTTTGCCTGTGTTATCACAGCTCTAGCAAGCCACCGCGTGTTAGGCTATGAAAGTTAGACAGGACAACAGTACGTCAGCCAATTAGTCATATTGCAGGTCATGTCCAGGGGCATCGGAAAGTATTTTAGGTTGGTACGGTCAACCACCTGAAGTACAATTTTCTTGTGGGGTTGGGGTGGTTTCTCTGGAAAATTTCGAAGTTTAGAGCCCAAATCAACGCATTTTATTAATTCACGGGGTACCTGGGGCAACAAGTGATACGGGCAATACCGTAGTGACCGTAGCGTGTCCGGCACCCCTAGTAGAGCTAGTAGAGCTCAAGACTTGGCTGTGGCCAGGTCTAGGCAATGGCTGTGGCTAGGTCTAGGCAATGGCTGTGGCTAGGTGTAGGCGATGGCTGTGGCCAGGTCAAGGCAATGGCTGTGGTCAGGTCAAGGCAATGGCTGTGGTCAGGTCTAGGCGATGGCTGTGGCCAGGTCTAGGCGATGGCTGTGGCAATAGACGGGTGTAACATTTGGAGCCCGGTCACGGGTACCGGGGTATACGTCTGAACTCCAACATGCCGTGAAGACATGCATTGACAGTGCAAGTACCGTAACACTGCTCCTGCGAAATGTCTGGAGTACCTGACAAGTGATTTTACTTGCCAAGCGTATCGCCCTGTCCTAAGCGTTGACAACTTCCGCAAAGAGTACAGTAGTTCAATGCTCAGACTCTGATTACTGTGAAACATGTTGTAACTTTAATTTCGGTACCTAAATTTAAATTACACGTAAAAGGCACTAGAGTATGCACTGTATGTGAAGGGAAAGCTGGTCACCTAACTCTACTTCGAAGTACATTACACCCGAAACCTGGCAGGTCCCTGGCACCGAAATTTTGATGCACCTAAAATTACATGTTTTACAGTACTTGCCGGATAACACCTTTGGCAGGTGCAGGGTTTATTGTGCAAGTACCATGATCACGAATCTAGCGCGCAGTCAGCTGTGCATGTGTTCTGCCGTGGGAGAGGGTATGCAATTATTTTCCACAGTGTGGTACTCTCGGTGCCGTAGTCCGCACTCTTCTTGGTGCAATTATGTGGAGTTTGTGCCGTTCACGCTTCACGCTTCATTCAAAGTATTATCCTTTCATCATGTACTGTGTCAGTGTTCATTGCTATTTGCTTGCACTCGGTTCAGTTCTAAGGTGGATGCTGGTATGCTTCAAAGGAGAATGAGACATTTCCCAGGCTCTCCAAAGTCCCCATAGTAGCTTGGTGTTTATACTTCGAAGTATGACTTTATAGACATTGCTCCCGCCTCCACCAGCCATGGCAGGCAGTATTAGCCACAGACATGTACGAGTGGACTTGCTATGTACATGAATGCTGATGGAGCTTAGTCTGGCGGTGCAGTTTGGCCTGCAGTGCAGTGTTTCGTGTCGTTTTCAGGACTAACCAGTGGTATGCTGGGTGAAGCACAATCGTGGAAGCTTGGTTCCGTAGTTAGGCTTTTAACCGTAACTGCTCTCTCTCTCTCTCTCTCTCTCTCTCTCTCTCTCTCTCTCTCTCTCTCTCTCTCACACACACACACACACACACACTCTCTCTCTCTCACACACTATCTCTCTCACTCTCTCTCTCTCTCTCTCTCTCTCTCTCTCTCTCTCCATGTTGTGCATGTGTCTGTAGGAGTACAACTCCTCTCCCGCGGAGTCAGGCATGAAAATGGACATGTGGGAAGCCGCCTCCGCCAAGGACCTGTACATCAAGGATGGCGAGTCCTTAGTGCGGTGAGTTTTTTAAACTGTAGAGCACAGATCGAGTTCTGATGTGTAACCCCCACAATCTGGCGAAAATGCTCCTAACTTGCAGACATGCACGGATCAAGAATTGGCTTGGGCATTCGCTATACATGACCACAAGTACTAGTAGTGTTTAGTCAAACCTCCCCCCCCCCCCCACTTTTCATTCCCACACGTACGTGTAAATGGACCAAGACCCAACGGTAGGATCAGATATTTTATCACAGTCTAATGTGTGCCATCAAGAGTAGATAAACAAGAGTGTGCAACTCCGGATCTCTCCTGCACAATCTGCAGATACCCCCGCCCACGGCGGAATTTTTTGTTGACGTCACCTTTTTTCAGAAGAACGCGCATTTTGCCGCAGAGCAGTGTGAGAGGCACCGAGCTTGTAGTGTAAAGCCGGCCAAGAGCACGAGGGAAAACTTTCCGAAAGACTCGCAGCGCGTGCGTCGTCGAAAAGATTACGTCAACAAAAAATTCCACCGTGGGCCTACCCATCCGCGAGTTGCACACTCTTGTTTATCTACTCTTGGTGCCATCATTTGCTCGGCTCTTCAATATCAGCTATCCGAGCACATGCTTCTACTAGTCTTGGTTCTATGCACTGCTGAACAACACCTGGTCCATGTTATGAACCATAGCCCCTACATTTTGAAGCTGGAAATCACAACTCTGCGTGCAGGATAACTCACTCCCCTTCCTAAGCATATCACCTTTCCGCTGCACCTCGCAGCATGTCTACTCCGTTTCTTTGTTGTTCGTCTTTCGCTTTATCGTTTCACGCTGAGGATGGACCATGCCTGAACATTTGGTGATTCAATGTTGAGAGAGTTTTGTTGTAGCGAAGAAACCATCATTATGTGAGTTATGTGAGTAGGCGTTGAAACTCCCTGTGCAATATGCCTGTACTGTGTGCTTGTGTTTGGTCATGGTGCAGCTCTGTCCAACACCCAGAATCACTGCTGAGTACGATCCATGACAAGCTCATTGCCAAGTTTGAAGCAGCGTAAGTCAGAACATGTGTGCTGTGACATCACGAGAGCACACAGAGGTCTAGCCAAGCTTGGCGTGTTTCCTCTTTATCTGCCCACAATTGGGTTTGAGGTGCTTTTCAAGTCAGAACAAGGTGTCGATGGGTACAAACTCTTCCATTTCCGGTGCAGCATGGCGTAAAAAAAACTCCGTAACCAAGAGAGTGTGTTTCTTTGGTCATGGGCCAGTTCGCACCATGCTCTCGAAAGTCAAAACCCATCATCTCTTGTATGAGTATACATGTACCACCGTACTTTTTGTTTTGTTTTTGTTTTTACTCGATTTGTTCAAGTCTCAACGCGATCCCTTAAGTTTGGGTGTCCAAAGTTCAGTTCCTTTCAAAGGTTAGTTTCAAACCACACACCACGCGTGAATTTAGAATACGTGAGTTAAATCGCATGGTGTAACGACGATAGCGCGCCATAGCTTTTAGTTCATACAAAAGGCATGGCCAAGTCAATACCAGTAACAGTTATGTATGACTGTGAAAATGCTGCTTGACCTTGGGACCTGACATATAGTGTGTCTTAGTCCAAGCTCGTCTTTCTAATTCTTGTGGATCGTTAGACCGTTTTTAGTTGGCAAGGCCTACAAAGAAGTCCGAATTGAGTGTTACCAAGAGTACATAACCCCCAAGAGTGTGCAACTCCAGCTATGGGGTCTGCGACGGCAGAACTTCACATCACGTGATGAACCCGTACACATTATTTGCACTCTGTGCATGATTGATACAGGGTTGTACGAAACCCAGCTTTGGGTACAACTCTCTCGTGATCACTTTGCACTGTTTTCCAGTGTAACCTTTTGAACCATGTCACGTGATGTGAAGTTCTGCCGCCGCAGCACTGCATAGAGGTTGTGCAGGCAGTTGCACACTCTTGGGGGTTATGTACTCTTGGTGTTACTCACACATGCCTGTCGTTGATTCAGACTATGCATGCTGTACTAGTGGTATCTTTTCCTTGTGGCTGGTAGAGAAACGTGTGCCTCTGTAGCAAGCTGTGATCGTCTAGTGGTTAGGACCCTACGTTGTGGCCGTAGTAACCCAGGTTCGAATCCTGGTCACAGCACACTTTTTTCCTGTAACTGTTCTTTACTTTTCGTGTGCTTTCGGCGGAGAGGCTCCGTGATCTTTTTCTTCTTCTTTTTTCTTAGCGCAAGGGCTTTGTGTTGTATTGTCTCGCATTTTGCCGTGGAGGATTCCGATCTTATTTCTTGGATCCGATTTCAGAAAAGAAAGAAAAGAAGCAACTGTGGTTGACGATAGAATTTATTGCCAATGGTTTGGCTAGTTACTGTGAGTCTTATCGCCGCTGAGGAGACATACCAGGGTCAAAGTAGCTAGCGGTCTAGGGAGTGCTGAGAATTAGTACATGGTGGAGGAAGAGCCTCCTGCACACCAAACAGAAAGAACTCTTTGTGTACGGACCGGAGTATGACCGGTATTATATTGCTAGCAAAGAATCATCGGTGTGAGGGCAACGAGTTGGGAAATACGTCGTATAGTATAGTCAACTGCTTGGTAATTGGTAAAAACCCATGAGTTTGAGATATTTGAATGCTTGGTATAAGATATATCATAATCTATAACACATGTGGAACCTGAGAAGTAGCCAGTGGCCCAAAGAGGTGTAGGTGTAGGTGTAGATGTAGTGACTATTAGTTTGTGTGGAGAGAATGTGTCATTGCGTCCCCCACTGCGTCAGTGTATTGCTCTAGTATAATGGGTATGTGAAGATCACTGGTCAATGGTCATGCCATTTTATTTCATGCAGAACGGCTGCAGGTATCCTATGAAGTAAAAATGAGAGATTTCAAGAATATTGGCAGTGTCGCTATAACTTAGTTACTAGCACAGGTAGTAGCCATTTTGTTTTTGGATTTAGTCCATTATAGGGGATTGATTAATCATTTTCAGGGTGTCTCTGGGAAATACATCCTCACAAGCCTGCACCAAAAAGCCCCCGGGCGCCCACCAACCAGATGGACCGACGTTATAAAACAAGATCTGAAGATCTCCAGCACCGCTGTACCTGTCACTACCTGAAGCCGTTGTCTTAGCCAAACACAGACATAAGTGGAAAACTCTCTTCACTCACAGATGCCTAGAGCTAACATACGAGCTGTTCTTATGGTTAGCGTTAGGGTTAGATTGTTCTTATTGTTAGTCCATTCTTTGCAGTATCACTAGTATCAATACGAGAGTACTCTTGCTCGTATTGTACACTGGTGAGTAGTGAATCCCATCTCTGGCTTGAGACTTGCGGCACGCGATGCTTTCAGTGATTACCACTCTGGACATGTATTCAGCCGAACGCAATGGAGCTCAGCAGGTCAGGCCGTTATTGGCTGCTAGGCATGTAGAGAATAGGGAGGTTTCGCTCTACGGAATTACGTATGAAAATAATGTATGAACTGCACGGAATTTTCATACGTAAAAATCAGAGCTGTTGAGTTTCGCTCTACATGATTTCTCCACGACTGCTAAACATGCGTTGTTGCTTTGGAGACGCGTTGGCTGCATGCGCCCATCGCATGCACCATGAACCGAAACCGCGTTTTCCATCTTATTTTGCACGTGGTGTACGGTGTGTGTACCTGTGTTTCGCGCGGCTTGAATGTTGCCATGGACAAATGCGAAAAAAAATTTCAAAAAGTCCTACGGAGGACCCAACGTAGGAAAGAGCTTTCCTACGGAAATCCGTAGAGAGATTCACGTATGAAAGTTGCCCTCGCTCCCCGGTGCGTACGACATACGGATTTTCATACGTAATTACGTAGAGCGAAACCTCCCTAATGTCCAGGTACGTACAGAGTTCTGGACTTCACTGGTCAGCATCGTAACATTGTCCTGCTGTTGGTTTGTGGGAAGTGTGTGCTCCTGTAGCAAGCTGTGATCGTCTAGTGGTTAGGACCCTACGTTGTGGCCGTAGTAACCCAGGTTCGAATCCTGGTCACAGCACACTTTTTCTTTTCTTTTTCCTCGAAACATGTACCAGGAAAAAGAACGTTTTGAGTGTTGTGCCGGAAGCTCTACTTTCATCGCATCTTGTACCTACCCTCCAGAGTGTGCCGTTATTTATCCTTCTTTTATCAAAATTTCCCGCGCTACATTCTTTTTGCTTCCTGCTGGTGGATAGAAAGTGACCGCAGATGGCAGATGCCTTCTATGTAGTCCATGTACCTTCTATGTAGTCCATGTACCAGCGGCTAGTAGTTTCTTGTGCTGGCTGAGGTTGGGGACATTTCCGAGAGACCAGCGCAGTAGGACGACGCAGTGTGAGAACCTTTACCCAAGTGATTTCATTGCACATGGCGCTGGTGGTGGGAGCATACTCTTAAGTGCCTTTTGCCGAGAGTATGCAGCTCCATGCGTGCGGTTACCCAGTCTGCTGGTACACTGTGCAGGCTGCTTTGACATCGCCAACATGTAGATTGAGCATTTTTGTGTCAAACGAATTTTCTACCGTCTTGAGTTTCCCAATGCATATTTCTTGGGAGATTAAAAGATACATTTGGGGCTTTGCATATTTAATTAACGTGCACATTGATCTCTTGGAGTTGGTAGCGGCCTGTTAGGTGCTGAATGGCCATCATTGCCTGATTCATTGGTCGTGCCATGTTCAGACGAAGTCGCCTTTGTGCTACTTGTAAATTCCAAGAAATGTCAGAGAAGTCACAGTAGAAATGTCACGGTGGTCTAATCCAATAGATGATATGCCTGCCAAATAACGTGCAACTAGACTTGAGAGGGCATTGCAGAGTAGTTGCATACAAAGTTCAAAGTTGTACGGTTACCTGTGACTTGCATTCCTGCAGAGCTCAGGGTCTACCATGTACACATTGTAGTATAATTTGTATGCAACTTGTGTGCGATGCCCTCTCAAGTCTAGTTGCGCGTTATTTGGCATATCATCTATTGCATTTGTTTCACTGGCCGGTAGGTAGTAGGTATCGTATCATTGTCTTCCTGTTGGTTGGTAGGGCATGTGTGCTCCTGTAGCAAGCTGTGATCGTCTAGTGGTTAGGACCCTACGTTGTGGCCGTAGTAACCCAGGTTCGAATCCTGGTCACAGCACACTTTTTTTCCTAATTTTATCTTCAATTGCAACATGCGGGGCATCCAGCAGAGGGAAAATGTCCCCAGGCACTCTCATGACCAACAACAGTTGTAGTGGTGAGCAGATTCGGGCATCGGCACGTTTGGATGTACAGTGCTGCTCAATGAAATCCAGTCGCGTCACTCAAGTACGCGCCGGGCGTTGCGCAGCCCTACACCTGCGAACACTGGTCTGCGAAATGGTGCAAGGCGCAAACTTGAGTGACGCGACTGGATTTCGTTGAGCAGCACTGTAGCAGCAAAGTCACCTTGGGGCTACGCTTGTGAGCCGGAGCTGAGGGCGTGTGATAAGTCTGTAGCTGGAGATCGGTGTGGATGAGAGACGGGGCCTTGTAGACCTTATCCCTGTAAGTGTTGAGGGTGGATGAAGCCTTGTGAAGGGTGTCGGACTGTTATAGGGTCCCAGTGACAATATCCAAATTTGGGCATAGAAGTTCAGCCAGCTTTTGGCTTGAGGTGTTCTATTTTCGGAAACTTCAGAGTCTTCAATTGGTCATGATGGAAACTTCAGTCTTCAATTGGTAATGATGGATGGGCTACAAGTAGGTTAGTCATAGAACTGAACGTGCAACAGCTTTATGTCAACGGCTGACAGACAGGGAGTGTGTAAATTGGAAGATATTACTTGGTTGCCAGGTGGTTATCAGCTTATATAATAATATTATAGGCCTTTCATACGGCGTGCAAGCACATGCACACGTGTGACCAAGATATCACTTGCAAACCGTGATCCAGTTCACACGGTGCTGGGCAAACTTTGCACACGTCACTGTATCTATAGTGACCTTCTGAAAATGCCGGGAAATTTTAAATTTAGAATTTTCCTTTTGAAATAATAGTTCACGCACTACATT